AAGATCACTGTAAGAATACTCTATATAGATTTAATTCAAATTTGGATGTTTCTTAATTAGTCTGATGCACTCTTCAAACATGGCCACAATGTACAGGTAATTCACATTTTCCCTGTCTCCTGAAGGTCGGACAGACATAACGGGCCAAAAGTGCAGTAGGAGAGACTTAAGTTTAATATTAAGAAGTTTTTAACTAGAAGGTAAGGCGAGCACTAGAATGGATTGTCTGGAGAGGCCACAGCATCTCTGTCCTTGGAGAGCTTTTCTTTAGATAAAAAGCTTTCTGGAAGGGTTTTAGTCCATCTAATTTGGAAGGGTGACTGGACTAGATGGCCTCTTGAGATTTCTTCTCACTTTATTTTGAGTTATTCTTTTTCCTAATTGGAGAAATATTGAACCATAAGTGAATACTGCCCTGGGCAAGCATGAGCAAGGGTATGGAGGCAATCCTGCTGAGTGCTTTGGACTTGGGGATGTGGACATTACATCTATCCCTGCCCCAATACATTTATTAACTATTGCTCTTAACCAAGTACAATACTGAGGTAAACTAAAATCAGTCTTGAGTTTCTATAAATTAAAATTGACAGAAGATTTTTCCCACCCCCTTGGCAGATTTTAGAGACTAGGTTTCTGACCTTGGTATTTTTGTCCCTGTCAAGCTTGGTGCAAAAGTGATGGAACCAGTTTGAGGAGTCAGTGTCCTAAACGTGTTGTTTACCTGACTACTTGACAGCAGCTTGGGCTGGGGAGGAAGGTGCGCGTATACTGTGAAGGAGGTGTATTGCCACAATAGGACTGAAGAGCAGAAATTTCCTGCTGCAGGTGATGGGTATGCAATGCTATGAGTTGGATTGCTCTTTGTTCACTTTGTTTGACAAAAACTTTCTACCTCGCCTTTCGTTTTTGGACACGGAGCATCCCAGGTGCTCATTTTGTGCACTGTGGTGGCATTCCATTGAAATTGCCAAAGCTGCTGTTTTGCACCAGCTAAATATTAGGCTTGGTGTAACTAACTCATCATCTTTAGAAGACCCCTGGTGTTTAGTTTGCAAACAGGAGATTGCCTTCACTCCAGGGAAGGATTTTCCTCAGGCAGGAGTAGGAGTGATCCTATGCTGTGAATTTCTGTGAAGAAATAAAACATTTTGGTTGCCAGAACTTAAAAAGCTTCTATAAGCTTCTCAGTTCCAGAATAAACAAAGTAGAAGACTACATGACATACCAACAGCTTCAAGTGTCCTACTTGTACAGTGCTGTTGCTTGTTTGGATGGAAGCCTTGTTCTTCATCGTTTGCTTACAAGGCAGTTGTGAGCTGCTGTGACCCTTTGTTCATCACTTTTAATTATAATGGCTTGGCAGAACAGAGCAGGGATGCGGTGTTGGAACAGTGTGGTCTTCACTAGTCAGGATTAAGATGCATTAGCGAAAATTGTAGAGAACTAGAATTGGAACCAGACTAAAGGAGACTGATTACAATACTATGGAGAGAGCTACGGGGGAGAGATGAACCTTGTACTAGAATGGAAAGGTGATTTTTGCAGATAGAGTTTAAGGCATGCTGGAACTTCTGAGAAATAATACTCTCAGGGGCCTGTTGAGTCTAAATTAGCGATAAAGCATAGCACGAGTTCAGCACAAGAATCTCAGGAGTGCTAAAAACACCCCAGTTTTGCTCTTATGCTGCCCTTTAGCATGTGGGTGCAGCAGCAGAACTTCATTTTTCTGACTGAAAGCAGTGCTATCTCCGTGTTACTAAAGCATGTAAACCCAGTGATTCCTTTTTTCCTCTCAATAAAAGAGCAAATCCCTCCCCCCAAACCCTTTTCCCCAAATTCCCTGAATCCTCTTTGGCTCGACAGATGAAACCTAACTTTTGTCAAGATACACTGAACCTCAAATTGCAGCGCTCTAACTTTGCTCCCCCCCCTTGCCTCTGTTTCACAGACTGTGGTGAGGGGCAGCACCGTGGAAGTGGAAGGCTATATCTCTGGGATACTCAACGATATCCAGAAGCTTTCTGCCATCAGTTCCAACACGTTGAGGGGAAGGAGCCCCACCAGCAGGAGGAGAGCTCAGTCCCTTGGGCTCCTGGGGGAGGACAGACCCCCAGACATGTATCTTCAGAGCCCAGAAGCAAACTGGGCAGACAAATATGGAAACTACCTCAATTGCAATGGTGGAGCCAAGGTAACCCGGAGGCAGACTATGTGGCCAGATTATAAACCCAGGTTGGATGGACAGTCTCATCCCAATGGTATGGTAATGAAAGCACAGTCCCTCGGGCCTTCAGAGTTTCAAGGTACTGATGGCAGCTGCATCCAACGTGCCTCCGGTTTGCAGCATGCACCGGCTCTACTGGGGGAGAGTGATAAGCCTGGAAAAAAGAGCTCAGAAGAGTGCTGGCCTCAACCTTGTCTAGTGGGACAAGCAAGCTCCAGGCCCTCGGGAGAAGGCAGTCCTAGCTCCAAGTCAAGGGAAAACAGCTTGAAGAGAAGGCTGTTACGAAGTGTCTTCTCCTCGTCCAGCGTCTCAAACAAGTCAGGCCCTTCCCTGCAGATAAAGGTATTCAGTATTTTTAAATGTGTGCAACGGTGACTTTACAGTTCCAGAGGTTACTTACACAACTGAACAATTCTAGTTGCAAACAACGTCAGTGTTATGATTAATGACGGCATCAAGGTAGTCCTAGCCAAAGCAGAAGCAGCATATAGTCCTTGTAAGCCTCACAGCATATACTACTAGGTATAGCTCAGAATGGCAGCCAGATCTACCTGAGAAAGGCTTGTTAGCATAGCTGTGCTTCGGGGAGTGCAGGTTAGGAAGGAGGTAGGTGCCTTTTTCATTTTTGCCTCTCTGTAGTAGTAAAAACCTAAGTTAAATGCATTTATACTAACATAACACTTTTGCCATTTGGAAAATTACCGTAGTTTATAGTGATAATGTATGCTTTTGCCTGTGTAAAAGAGGACTACTTCAGGGGAACTTGTTGGTTATAGCTGTAGTGGCCAACCTGCCTACAACAGAAACATTTGCATTGGCACCCACAGTACTGTCAAACGGGAACTCTGACTGTTGGTTTTTGGTAAGGATGGGACAGCTCATAGCTACGTATCCCCCAGGAAAAATGTCCTGAATGGCTGACTCAGCTCTTATTAAACTAGGAGAACAGCTCTGGTTACTGTTACTGGATAGCAAATGCAGCCCTTCAAGCCACTGCTTCTAATTGATCCCAGGCTAACCCAAGACTCTTTATCCTTGCATGGATGCCGAGTGCTTGCAGAGGCTGCACTTGGCTGATGTTAGGCCAGGCTAATTTCTGATAGGTGTGGAGTCCCCAAAGTCAGGAAAAGATGGCAAGAATCACTGGCCTGACAAAATGGACTGCTCTAATGTGCTGCAGGGCATGGCTCCCTCTGACAAGGCTCAGCCCAGGAACACTTGCTGTTTGCATAAGGAACAGACCTAAGGCTTCCAAACCCAGCCTTCTCCCTGCAGATGCACTTTTTGAGGAGGTTGCTCCTGGGAGTGGGATTTTAAAGGAACGAGGTTCTTGGGTAGTACAGACCATGCTTACCCACCGTCTTGGTGACTCTAGGCTGTTTTATAGTAGCTGGAGGCCTGTTGCTGAGTGCTCAGGAGAACTGACCACCTATTTCTTCTCTAGCAAGAGTGTCTTTACCCTGCCTCTGCACTCTTATAGGAGGAGTAAAGGTTACCAGTGAGATTGCATGTGCTTGCTGGGTGTTTGTCCTTGAGCTACTTACAGAGTAAGAAAGACCTTGAGGTTAATCTTGTGCATCTCCTTGCTCCAGTGAAGGATCTGTGTCATTGCGGACAATTGTTTATCTAAGCTATTCTTAACAGCCCCCAGCGATAAAATGGAAAAAATGATGTGCAATTGTCATGTGTAGGAAATGCATGATTGCAGATGAAACGGAGAGGGGATGTAACTGGCTGAAAATGGGGGGAGTTGGGTGCCTTGACAGGCTGCCTACAATCAGCTTGAGATGGTGTAATGCTCTTTGGTCTTGACCCAATATGGAGGGAAGAAGGGGGACAACTACTAACATCTCAAAATGTCCAGAGACTGAAAATGTGGGTGTAGGAGTTGACAAATTATCAGAGCAGGAAATGATACTTACATGTGGTTAGGCAGACATGTGCAAGCTTGCATGCATGTTGTGTCCTTTTGCATGCGCTAGGTTATATAATTTTTTTTTTTCTTCTCCTGAGTCAAAACAAGAGTTGAGAAATAAATTATGTCCTTGCTATGAACATGTCTCTACAGGATTGTAGGGGTGGAGCTGATAAATGAGGAGGAAGTAACTTCTGACTGGCAGTTTCTGTTTGTGAGCTCCTGCACCACGGTGCCAGTACCTGCTAAATCATACTTTCACACGTCAGGGTATACGTGTGTGTGTGTGACAATGAGCCCGGTGCATGTTAGACTTCTGAAGATTTTAACTTTTGTCAGAAATGCTTGATTAAAACCCAAGTGTGTTTAACTAAATTCTATACAATTACTTTCTCTCTGAGACAGAGAAAATGAATGTTCTTTTTAAAATCTCTCTGTTGGCAGTTTTCAGTTCCCATAGCCATATTATTAACTTCATTCATACTCTTGTCTGTATTGTATTGTGAGAGATAAAGGCTTTTTACTTTGAAGTTTTTATTTTATCCTGCAATGTAAATGATTGGCTTGCTCTTTCTGAAGTTGCTACCTTGTCAGCTCCGCTAACTTGCTTTGTACCTAACCTGCTAGATGTTGTTGAATTTTAATTAGTCAACATTGCCAGGGTGAGTATTAGCATTTCAAATTTATGCTTCTTAGGAGACCTACGCATAGTGCTAGCATGGGAATGCATATCCTGAAGCCACATTACCTCTGGGTGTGATCTTACTAGATCTTGTAATGTAAACAGGGTTGGGCCTGCTTGGTACTTGAGTGGGAGGTCTTCAGAGAGCCTCAAGTGCCTCAGGAAGGAGCACTGCTAATCTAGATTCATTGTAGGTCAGTTCTGGGTCAACAATATGGCAAGGTGGCAGATCCGCGTTGCTGGAAGTGTCACCTGGTCACCTACAGCTGTTCCAGTTCATAGTGCTTTTCTTAAAGCAGAGCACTAATTCTGCGTCTGATTGACTGGCATGCTCTGCAGGTACCAGTGGAAGGTGCAGAGAAAGAGTTTTAAGCAGGCAGAGTGTAATTACCCAAAGGGAATTAGGCCAAGACATCAAAATAATTTACAGCTCTGACATGAATCCTCTTCTTTTATATATAGGAACATCAGAGGCGCAGAGGGATGCAGGATTTTCAAATTCACTGAAACTCAGATTGCCCCTGTGTTTTGGTGGCAAGATTGGAATGCTTTTTAGCAGCTGTTGTTGTTTGTTTTAGGCATGCGCCAAGATCCAGCTCTCTGAAGACAGGGCCTCTTCCTAAACTGCCTCAGTTTGGATGCACCCAAAGTATAGCGCCCATGCTGCAACTGATTCTTGAAAAGCTAGGTTCATGGAGTTCGCCTCTGGTCATGCAGCATACCTTGTGCAGATGTGGAGACAAGTACCTAGAGCTCCAGTCTGCTGCAAAATACATTAGGCCCGTGTGGCATAACATGCAGCTGATGTCTGTAACCTCTTCTTGTTAATCTAACCAGCACTTTTTCTTTCTTCTGCTTTCATATTCATTCTTCTCAAAGCCTAATGCTTTCTTCAGGCCCCAGCAATGGGGTTCGCCACGCAGCCCTGCAGCCAAAGCCCAGTCCCTTCCGTCTGATCAGCCTGCACCTGATTTCTCCAGGATGGTCTCAGAAGGTGGAACCCCCCAGAAATCACCAACAGTGGAGAAGGCGATTGCATTGCCACAAGGCAGACCATCACCAGCAGGGTCTCCCAGAAACCGGCAGACTCAGACTAGTTCTAGCAACCTTCACCTTCCCCAGGACTCTTCTGCGAAAGGGCAGTTGGCTAGTGAGGACCCAGTGGTTGTGACTCATGAGCAGTTCAAAGCTGCCCTTAGGATGGTAGTGGACCAAGGGGACCCCCGGACATTGCTGGAGAACTATGTGAAGATTGGTGAAGGGTCCACAGGCATTGTCTGTATTGCTCGAGAGAAGCACTCAGGGCGGCAGGTGGCAGTGAAAATGATGGATCTCAGAAAGCAGCAGCGCCGGGAGCTCCTTTTTAATGAGGTGAGTATAGTAATGACAGGTGGGTTTCTGCTGTCCCCCATAAAGCCATGGTAGCAGTAAGTTTGGTTTAAAAAAAAAAAAAGGGATGAGCAAGAGACATATTCCTTTTAATGCTGGTACCAAGAAAAAGAATGATGCGGTGAGTGCTGCGTTGTACTCAAAGGGTGGCGCATGCTTGCTTTGTGGGGTAAGATTAAATTTTGTTAGTGATGGTGTGGTGGAGAACTATCCCTTGTGTTTTAACAGGTAGTGATAATGAGGGACTACCAACATGTCAACGTAGTGGAGATGTACAAGAGCTACCTGGTGGGAGAGGAGCTCTGGGTGCTGATGGAATTCCTGCAGGGGGGAGCCCTTACAGACATCGTGTCTCAGATCAGGTATGAAGCAGAATCCCAAACCATCAACACTTGTCCCCACCTGACAGGCAAGAGCAGTAGAGTGGAGATTTCTGGGGAGAATGGTTTCCCCAAGAGATCTTGATGCTTGTGATTGCAGTGCCCTCAAACCACTATACTTTATAACTGTCAATCCATTGGAAATACACAGTAATACGTCTGATGCAGAAGAAGGGAACATATTACAGTACTGATCCCTTCACATATCCAATATTCATCTACTTGATGACCTTCTCCGTAAAACACAGTATGCATAAAAAGTATCGTACTAGATCTGTTGTATTCTGGCCAGGAAACTCATTGACTAACTATTAAAGAACACCCAGAAATGATTTTCAGAGGTACTCCCTTAGTGAGGTTGAATTTGTGGCTATCTGCTCTGGAGAACTGAAGCAGAGCCTTGAGAGCTGGACTCCTTCCCAAATTTCATTGCCTAAAGATAGCAGTAAATACTTAGAGCTACTGGACACTCTCCTAAATTTGTTTTCATATCCACACCACTTCATACTCATTAATGCCCAAAGCTTTTCTGTAGGACAAACAAGTTGTTCTCCAAATGGCCTCTGTAGAGTCCTACTCGCAAAGCATTCTGGTGGTGCAACTGTGATGATTTTGTCTTATCTGTAACCCTGGAGCACCCTCCCCTCCTTTCTGTTTCCATGCAGTCCTATAAGGCTGTAAACTGGTGAAGGGAACTCCTGCTATGAAAGGACTGACCCAGAACTTAGGCAGGATGAGCATTTCTCTTTTTGAAGACTGAGAACCTTAACTGGATTATAATTAGGCTAGTATTGCTAACACTAATTGTATTTACTTTCTTTATTGTAATATGCCTTTTGTATTTACTTACATGCTTTGACTGGCCTTTACTGATCCTGTGGTGGAGTTAGGGCATATGTCTTGTTCTATTGGGTTGTCTATTTTGGGTGCTCATCTGTGATGTGTTTGGGAGGAAACAAGGGCACGTTGTCCTCTGTCACCTCTACAGCCCCCGGAGTAAGAACTGTCTAGGAGATACTCAGCTGGCCAGACCTTCTAGCTTTGTGAGTATGGAGGCTCATCTCGGTGACTGAGAACCAAGGTTTCACTGAAAGCATGTCCCTGCTTCTGGACAGGAAACAGAACATGTGGTCCTGAAGGATGCTGGGTTATGGCATTGCAGAGCAAGTTCAGCTCTGTAGCTCTTAGCTCACATCTGTAGCTCTTAGCTACATTAGTAGAACCAAGGGAGCTATAGATGAAACATATTCTGAAGAGGTTTATGAAGGTCCAGTTAGCTTATATCCACCACTTAGACTGAATGCCATTGTGGGTTCTCAGCCTAGATGTGAGTAATTTTATGAAGCCTTCCTTTGAACCTTTTAGTGAATGCTTGTTTTTCTGCAGAGTGGAAACAGGATTTGTTATAGCTATAACATTGACCAAAAGTAAGCTGCCAGCCTTTTGTCATTTTCTTCAGAAAGAAAAACATCCTTATTCCACTCATTTAATATTTGCTGAAGATAACTGATTTGCATCTCCTGGAGTGAGATAATCCCCTAGTAATCTTTCTTACACTCTGCAGTCACTTGTCTGAAACTAAATGTCATACCTTCCAAGCTAAAAGTACATCTCTCTTTATCTGGCAGAAACACAGAGTTCGGAAGGGTATCAGCTTTACTCATCGCTCAGAAACACAGAATCGTTTAGGTTGGAAGAGACCTCTGGAGATCATCTAGTCCAACCTCCCTGCTCAAGCAGGGACCTCTAGAGCATATTGCCCAGGATCACATCCAGACGGGTTTTGAATATCTCCAGCGAAGGAGACTCCACTACCTCTCTGGGCAACCTGTTCCAATGCTCTGTCACCCTCACAGTGAAGAAGTTTTTTCTCAGGTTTAGATGGAACTTCCTGTGGTTCAGTTTCTGCCCGTTGCCTCTTGTCCTGTGGCTGGGCACCACTGAGGAGAGGCTGGCCTCATCCTCTTGACACTCCCCCTTCAGATACTTGTACACGTTGATGAGATCGCCTCTCAATCTTCTCTTCTCCAGGCTGAACAGGCCCAGCTCTTGCAGCCTTTCTTCATAGGAGAGGTGCTTCAGCCCTCTAATCATCTTTGTAGCCCTCCGCTGGACTCTCTCCAGTAGTGCCATGTCTCTCTTGTACTGGGGAGCCCAGAATTGGACACAGTACTCCAGGTGAGGCCTCACCAGGGCTGAGGAGAGCAGGAGGATCACCTCCCTCCACCTGCTGGCAACACTCTGCCTAATGCACCCCAGGAGACCATTGGCCTTCTTGGCCACAAGGGCACACTGCTGCCTCATG